TATATATATATATATATATATATATATATATATGTGTGTGTGTGTGTGTGTAGTAAATACTGAAGTGTTGAATACTGTTATTAATTTTTGGGCATTCTTTAAAGAGGTTACTGTCTCTGCAGTCTCAGTATATTTAGTTAGCACATGTATATGCTAAGTAACAGTCATATGAGGCTGTGGCTGTAGCAAGATAGCAAAATATGCAATACCTTGTGTTTTCTAATTGAACTGAACTTTTACTCTGCATTATGAAGGTATTATATAGACTTGTGGTTAGTATTTCAGGAAGCATTTGACAAGGTGCCACATAAAAGGCTTGTTAAAAAATTATAGGTGTGAGAGATAAGTTGGCTTATTGGATAGAAAAATGGTTGGATGGAAGGAACCAGAGCGATTTTATAAATGGAGTTTTGTAAAACTTGATTAACCATTTGACTGTGGCTGCTTTAAACATGCATGGAATTTCAGCAATCTGTACACTGTATACAGCACAATCTTATTCAACTACTGGATGTAGACTGTAAGGCAAATAAGCAGTCAATGGGTTAATATCACACATGGGGGTACTCCAGGGCACAATGTTAAGATATTTGCTGTTTTTGGTTTACATCAAAAACATGGATGAAGGAATGGCCAATAAATTACATAAATTTGCTGATGATATTAAGGTCTTGGGTGTTGCTGGCTATAAAAAGGATGCTGATGCTTTACAGAAAGATTTAGATTATTTGGTGAGTTTGTTAAATAAATTCCAGATGGCTTTAATTATCATAAGTGCAAGGTATTGCAAGTGGTTATCATAATTTGAATTATGAATAGAATTTTTATGGGAATAACCTTCACTATGAAAGAAAGGCTCTTGGTGTTCTGGTTGATCAGTCTCTTTAACCGTCCATTCAGTGTGCTGTTGCTAGTGGTTGGACAAATAGAATTTTATGCTGTAGTGACATAAATATTGAATACAAGCCTAAAGAAGTTGTACTTTCATTGTTTTGGTCAGCAGTTTCCAAACTTAAGTTACCCAATGAACCTTTTTAATTTAAACTTTTTCATGAACCCCAAACCTACTGATGTTTTTTATTTTGAAAAAAGGTTCTGTGTACATGTAAAGCTGTATTCCAGAATTAAATATTTTAATTCATATGAATTTAATTTTGTGAAAAGTATTTCTTATTCAATAAATCATATTGTATTAAATATTGTACAATATTTTGGCCATGATTCGTGGACCCTCTGGAGTACCCTTGCAGACCCCAGTTTGAGAAATGTTAGTACAGGTCATTGGTTAGGCTAGATTTGGAGTATTCTGTTCAGTCTTGGATGGACATTGTAGGGTTCAGAGGAAGGCTACAAGGATGATACTTGGGATGGAATGGTTGTTGTGCAAGGACTGGTTAAGATCTCTGAAATTGTTTTTATCTTTAAAAAAGAAAAAGAGTTGAGAGGAGATCTGATTTAGGTGTTAATATTTGTAAGGGAATTGATAATGTCAATGCATCATTGTTTTTTGTACTTAATGGAGAAAGTGGTAGGACTAAGGGAAGTAAATATAAATATTAATCTTTAATTAAAACTTTTACTAACAGGGTGGTTGGCCTTTGTAATGGATTGCCTTCAGATGTGGTTGAAACAAAATTTAACATAACAATGTCCTATTCTCTAAACTAAACTAAACTATTAAATAAATAAAATTTAAAAAAATATAAAAGCTAGCCCTTATCATTAATATAGTTATCCAGTTTTTCTTAAATTCACTTTAATTTATTGCATCCACAACATCTGAAGGCAACCCATTCAAAAGGCCAACCACTCTATTAGAAAAATAAAACTTTCTTAACTTATGGTGACTCCTAACCTGCCAAAATTATATTTGTGTCCCCTAGTCATACTATTCTCGCCATTAAGTATGAAAAATGATGATGCATTAACACTATCAATTCCCTTTACAATTATAAACACTTCAATCAGATCACTTCTTACTCTTCTTTTTTCAAGAGAAAACAATTTGAGAGATCTCAATGTCTTTCCTAAGGTAAGTAGCCCAAGATGGAACACAATTCTCCAAATGTGGCATAACAAATAACCTATACAGTAACATTATAATCTCTTTAGACTTGTATTCAATATTTTTCTAGATAAAACCTAAAATCCTATTTGCCCTACCATTAGCAACAGCACACCGCTTGGATGACTTAGAGACTGATCAACCAAACACCAAAATCCATTTCTTTTATAACACTGTTAAGGTTATTTCCATCAAAATTATACTTATAATTCAAATTATGATAACTCATATGCATTATCTTTCATGTATTATAATTAAAACCTATTTGCCATTTATTTGCCCAACTCATTAAAAGGATCTAAATCCTTTGGTAAATCAGCAGCATCCTCTTCACAGCTAGCAAAACCCAAGATCTTAATATCATTAGCAAATTTAAGTAATTTATTGACCATTCCTTCATCTGTGTCATTAATGTCCATATCTATGCCCTTACCCTCATCGACATAAGCAGTAACCATTTCAAAGAATGTCAAAAGATTTGTAAGGCAAGATTTTCCCTTAGTGAAACCATGTTGACTATCCAATAAAATTCTAAACTTTGTTAAATAACTTTGCAAAGCATCTTTTAACAGACTTTCCAAAACTTTTCCCACAACTGATGTGGGTCTATGATTACTGGGACAATTTGTATCACCTCCATTGAAAAGAGGAGTTACATTAGCTAACTTCCAATCCTCTGGTACCTGCCCACTATTCAAGGACTGACAAAAAATAGTAGTAAGTGGCTCACATATCCAATCTTTAGCCTCCTTCAAAACCCTTAGGGTAATATTATCTGACTCAGGACCCTTATCATTTTTTAAACTTCCCAATTTTTGCTTAATGCATGTGACTCCCTCTATTCAATTCTACCAAACTACCACTTCTCATTTGGCAGAACTGGTGTCAAGATGTTTTTTGTGTGCTCTTATAATTAATTTAACTTTGTAATTTTTTTAAAGTTGTTATTCCGAAGTGGATTTTTTTGTTTTTTTTCTTTAACAGTTAACTTCTTTTTAGGTAACATATTTTCCAAGTTTTTAATTTTTTTCATCAAACATTTGTATTTAATTTTCAATTTTCTACAATGAATTCTGAAGTTCAAGTTACCACTTGGGATATCATACCTTCTACTAACACATTCACACAGGCTACAGGTGGGGTGACTCATCTTTGGATTTATCAGCTATCATTCACCATCAGATTGATCATTATATGGGTCAATCAGCTACTCCTGATGTTGCCCAGTCCTCCTGAACATGGCAAACTTGTTTGGGTCGACGAGAATTTTGACAGACTTTTTCATCCACTGATTTTGCTGTGTCTTTCTATGCCCCTCCTGCAGAATCGGCTATGCCTAATATGGCTTTGTTAGACATGATTTCTTCAAGTATATTGTATTTTATCCATTTCCCCATTTTTGTAGGATCCTCATCCTTTGTTACATGATACTTTCTCCTCTCGGTATTTGATCCCCCTCCCCCCATCCCAGATATTAGGGTTCATGCTGAGCATCTTGTTTCTCAGATGGTTGAAGGTGCCAGATTGCCTCACCCTCCACAGGCTTCAGATCAGTTTGCCTTGGTCTACCATTAGGCTGAATGTCTGTTTCTTGACTCTCTTTCCAAGGCAATCCTCAGAGATTCTGAGGGATTTTCAAAGGATTGCCTCTCCCTGATTACCTCCATATTGGCATGTTTGTCTAGCCTTATACATGTATGTGGTTTTTTCTGTTGTTGGGATTTTCTGGGGAGGGACACAGCATTGTCCCAGGTTCATTTACCACTTCCTCATCACTGGGATTTACCTATGGTCCTTTTTATTCAGCAGTATGTTTTTAGTAATATTCCTGAGACTTTGGAATCCTGTGTGGAGTTGGTGCAACAGCACACTACCCTTTCTTCTTTAGTGGATTGTTTGTCACATTCTGAGCCTCTACATGCCCCTATTACTGTTGCCCATCCAGCTTCTTCTCAGCCTTTACCCGTTCCTCCCTCCAGAGGATCCTCATTTCATAATTTTATTTGATGCCAATGGAAATGTTGTCAAAATTATTGGTGACTACCCAGTGGGTTCTGGTCCAGGGGGCTTACTTGTCTGATTTTATTCCCCTTTGGCAACCTTTTCCCACAGATCTGTTGGATATTTGGGTTTTATCCAAGGAACATACAATTTCTTTCCCCTCCTCTGTTCTCTGTTATCTCAGATACCCATTTCCTTTCAATTGCCTCAGAATCCTTCCACCAGTCAACATCTGTCCAAGGTGGTACAAGATCTTCTTTCTCAGCAGGTCATCAAATCTGTCAATCATCCATCTCCAGGTTTTCTTCCAGGCTATTTGTAGTACCCAAGAAAACTGGAGACTGGTGGCCTGTGATCGATTTGTCCTGCCTATCAAGTTTTTGTTCTATCCCAATTTACCATGGAGTCTTTTCTCATCCACATGTGGGCTTTTTCTCCAGGTTTGTGGATGACTATGGTAGACATATCGAATGCTTACCTGCATATCCCAATATTATCTCAGTCAAGACACTATCTTAGTTTTGTTAGTCACAGGGTAGTTTATCAATTTTGCACCCTACTCTTCAGGCTTGATTCAGCCCAGTATGTCTTTTGTCAGATGATCAAGGTGTTTGTCCAACATTTACATGCTCAAGGGATGTGCTTCCATCATTACATGGATGACTGGCTTCTGTTAGCTTGTTCCAAACAGGAGTCTGTTCATCACGCTCATCAGCTGCTCCTGGAGACAGCTCGTGTGGGCTGGTTAATCTAATTGGAGAAGTCATTCCTTATATCTACCCATTATCTTGTCTAGTTGGGTATTTTTTCATTACTTATCTCAGTCAGGCCTAACCTTTTCCTCTTTGACTTTGTTCAATGGAGCTTTCAGTTTTCCATGCACTTACTTTTCCCTCTCTTACAGTTTGCGAGGTTCTATCACTTTTGAGGATGTGGTCTTCCATGGAAGACTTATCTCATTGGGTCGAGCACATATGCAGTCTCTTCAGTGGACTCTACATGACTAATGGAATCTCCTATTTCCCTTTCTCTTTCCTTTGTAAATGATCTGCATTGGTGGGTGGACTTGTATGTCAACAGGTGTTCTGCCTCCTCCCTGTCTGAATTTACCTATCTTCATGGATGCCTCCATTCAGGGCTGGGGGGCATGGTTTGATCAGCAAGAAGCTTCAGGACAGTGGTTTCCAGCTGAAAGATCTTACCCAATCAACATCCTAGATCTTCTGGCTTTACTTCGTGCATTGGATAATTTTCTTCATCTTACCAGGAATTGTGTGTTTGTGATCCGTTCTGACAGTTCTACAATGGTGGTTTATCTCAATCACCAAGGCTGCACACATTCTCGTTCTCTTTGTTGTCTGACCTTGGATCTTCTTTTCGTGCCAACAAGCTCGGTATTTATTGCATGTCATGTTCCAGGTGCATTCAACCTAGTTTTAGAATGATTTTCCCTTCCAGACAAAGTTTATCCGACAGAGTTGTCTCTTGATTCTGTTGTTTTCCGGTGGCTATGCCTTCAGTGGTGTACTCTTCACCTGGATGCATTTGCCACTTCTCTCAGTACCAAATTACCTCTATTTTGGTCTCTGGTTCCTCATCCTCTTGCTCTGACTGTTGATGCTTTCAGTCAAGATTGGACCAGCAAATACTTGTATGTTTATTCTCCCATCCATCTTCTTCACAAGGTGATCTTGATCATCCATACCACTCCATGTCAAATCCTTCTGATTGCTCCTTACTGGCTGGCATGGCTGCTCCAGCTCCAATCTGCCCCACCATTACCTCTTCCTGTTACTCAATCCCTTGTACATCAACCTCAGTCACTGATATTTCATCCAGCCCTTCCTGTCCTTCATTCTCATGCCTGGTTTTTATCCAGTCCTTGGCTTGGAGATCTGGTTTGTTCTGAAGGGTAGCTTCTTTTTCAGCTTGTTCCATTTGCCCTTTCTTTAGGGATGTTTATCAATGTAAGTGGAACGGGTCAGGTTTTCACCCACTTTTTGTTTTCGTATATAGTTTATTCTGGCCCTCATCACTGTCTAGTCCTAGTTTATATCTGTAAAAGTTATAGTTCTTTAGAAAAATGGAAGCTTGTTTATTTTGCGAATTTGACATATGAATAAAGATTTATAATTTCATGTGTGCATCTATAAAACCTATCAGTAGAATGATTTTTTATTTCTTTAGGATTCTGTTTTTTCCAAGATCTGCACTGAGGCCATAAATTGGATACAATGGTGAGAATATATTTTTTTACCATAATGAATTTATTAATTCATTATAAGTTTCAAACATTTTATATTGATTTATGACCAATGTTGAAATTATTCTTAAAGAAGTACAGGTACTCACCTTTATCAGGACCTGGCATCATTCTGTATGGAATATCAAATAAACTATTCAAATTGAACTGTCAACAAATAAATAAAAAAATAACAGTATACTGTACAATATTCTAAAAATAAAAGGTGTTCTACTTGGATTTGAAAAAGATCCAAGTTCTAGTGAGTACTTGCAGAATTTCACCCATTTATGACTATATTTTCAGTGTTATTTAGAATTGGGCTTTAATTTATATATTACTTTTTATATCTATATCATTAGCTCAATTTTAATCAGGAGTTATTAATAAATACTAACCTTTAAATTTTTGAAAATCATGTAAGAATAATTATATTCTAATTATTTACTTAATTTGTCAAAAGTTTAGAAACATTACATATAATGGGGTATGTCATAAGAATTTAACCCCCCAAATTAAAATATTTATGAAATGGGAAGCAGTAAAAAATACAATATATTTGGGTGAGCTTACTTTCTGAGAAGTTAAGAGAAGTGTTTGCATGAATGTTAGGGTAGAAGGTACATGTAATATTGTTGTCAAGTTGCAGGTTGAAAAGGAAGTGGCTATCTTTATACATGAGAAACATTTTTATAGTTAGTTAAATAAATCTCAGTGAGTACATATATCAGCTTTGGAAGTCTAGTTCTAGGTTTGCTCTTTTTTCCAGTATATTTAGAAGAGGTTGCTTAATGATGTTGTAACCAGAGTTTGAATTGAAGAAATATTGCCAAATATCTCTGGTGCTCAGGAGCCAGCATTAAATCCTAGGAGCAGGATAATAACTTAACCCTATGAGGAGCAAGAGGATTCATTTGTGCCTTGCCCAAAGAAAATTTGTGTCTTATTTTTGATTTCTGGAAGTTATGCATTTTAGAAATAAACAAAATACACACACACACATAAACTGCTTTTTTGTGCAATTTTATTTTTACAATGCTTAAGGTGAATGAATCACTCAATTCTTTCTGTATGATGTAGAATTATTTATAGCTCACTGAAACTTTTAACACCAACCATGCTCTTAGCAACCGAGAACATTCTTGCTGATGATACACATTTATTGGCTAGAAATCTAATTCTTTGCAGTATTATGTCAATTTTGTTTCTTCAATATTTATTAGAAATTCAAATGCTATGTCAGTCTTTTATTCTATGTTTAATTTTAATTTTATTGAAGATATTAGTGTACAGATGGTTGAGTATATTTAAATACAAATCACATGACAATCATAGCTTATATAAAGTTGTGGTAGAACAACATATATCAGAACTATATGTTGACATTTTGTAGATAGTATGATGCTACTGAAAACTGATTAATTTTGAGAAGGGTATGTAAAGCCCTTTGTTATGCAAAATATTTGTATGTTCAGATTTGGGATTTAATATTTCCAAGGTGGAGATATATTTTGTACTTAATGGCATTGGAAAACAAAGGAATATGGATCACTGTGTGGAACTAGAACTATTCAGAAAGAGATTTGCAACAAGTCATACCCCCCCCCCCCCAGCCTTGATGACAGGTGGGAATCCATGAACACAAAGGTCAGTGATAAAAGGCGTGCATATCTCAAACAACAGAATATAACATTATCAAGCAGGATCTCCATCTGGAAAAATGCCCATGTACTAAAGTGGCTTCCCTGACATACCCACTCAACCATCTCCTATCTCAAGTAGCTGGTGAATGAAATGAATATATATATATATGCTACTTCATATAAAGACAAACTGGTCAAGTCACTGGATGCAGTACCCATGTATCTTGTCATGAGGGAACAGTTGAAATGGGTGCTGGGAACTGTGGTCCTCCAACACTTGATAGATTATGAAAAGCAGCAGGAAGGAGAGATATTCCTTGGATGTGACAACCTTCTAACAGAGCCTTGTACAGTCAAAACTACACTGCAAAGCTATTGTCAAGATACATGGTTGTCAGATAGAGCATGACTGAATATGGAGACATGAATTATAATGACTTGATGAGGGTCCAATATCATTTCAATATAACATATTTGATCTCTGTAAAAATGAAAAAACACAACTTTTTTAATGAACAATTCACTAAAAAGTCCCAGATACTAGGTACCTTTTTTATGTGCTGGAATTTGGCTGGATTTTTGTGGTATCTCACATAAATATTTCTCCAATATGGAATGACCTGATGTATTGCGATAACTACTCTACATGCTCAGCTGTTCATCAATAAGAATGGATAGTTGAGCAATCGTCTATTCTACCTATCTTACTAACACATTAGCACCCAGCAAAAAATTCTTATAACAATATCTTTTACTTTACCACCTCTATTGGGTGTAGACTATTTCCTGCTTGAGATGAATGTGGTCTACCATTGAGTGTTGCCTCAATGGAATACTCTCCCTCTCATGGATGTCACACTCCATGAGCTTTCCCTTTCTGATGCTGTTTTCAGAAAGGAGCTCATTTCTCTAATTTCTCCGCACTGGCCACTTCAACATCTTCAGCTTGGGATTCTAGCTCTTTGTGTTGCAGAGAGCTGAGTATTGTTTTTTAAGATAATATTTTCTTACATTATTATTTCAGATAGATACTCATTTCTCTGCACCACCTCCCATCTTTTCTTCACACATCAATTGCACTTAATTTACCTCATTAAGAATGAGTCTGTGTTCACTTACTAGTGCTCATGAGGATTACTGCACATGGAAGTTGTCACCCTCCTGTTGGTGGAGTGCTATAGTCTAATGATGATTACATTATAGACTGATGCAATACACTGACACATGTAGGGGTGGGAACTTTGTTCAAGGAATTTATACAGCAGTGAGCATGAAGTAGTAGTTCTTTGTGATACAGAGAAGTATCTGTCTGAAATACATTGTTAGGGTAAGGAAGATGTTAATTTGAAACCAGAAACTTAGCTTTACATTTTCCTAAAAGTCTTGCCTTTCCTTCTGAAACTTTTCTATGTAAACATTTCATGACAGTAAGTATAACTGTTAATTTTAAAGAATAACTTGACACTAATTATCATGATTATTGAATCTTTATACTTTTTAATACTATGACATCTGAAGAATGGTAGGATTGTGGAATTTCTTAACCCATAGGCAACATTTATTCTCCTGTCCAATGTTTAGTACCTCTTATTTAACTTGCGTTGATAAAGAGTTACTTTACATTTGATATGTTCTGCCACTTATGAATTATTGTGGATAACCAATGAGTTCTTTCTAAAAATGCAGGAATGACTGCAGATGATTCAGTATTTTTAAGTAGGGATATTTAGCACAATACTAAAATACAAGATAAACATTACAGACAGAATAACCTTGGTCACAACAAATTTCTGAGGTACTTACAAATCAAATCATAAAGAGACGCTTCCAGTCTACAAGTCTTTAAATTGTGTATTTTCTCCCTCTCCTTCAGATGTCACCTTTAACTGTACCTGAATTTAAGCAAGAATACATCACTGCCTTGTGATTTCTGTTCATGTAATATATGTTAGTAAGTTAAATTATCCTCCAGTAATTAATCCTTAGAAATTATAGAAATATAACATGTAAACAACAAGTGTTTTGTCAGACTTCTGATACCATTTATCTGATTTCACAGGATGTGTTGGGGAAGTCAAAGTTGAAATGAATTACAACAAACTTTCTTTTTGCTGTAAATTTATAAAAGAGAAAGACATTTTATAAAGCTTAAGGTTTAACCCATATAAACATATAGTGTCACTAATTTTAAGTATTTAATCCATAAAAATAGTCATACTTGAAATAGAATACTATACTGTTTTTCTAGTGAGATTAAAAATGAAATAGCGTGGTTATTTATACAAATACATGTGTTATATACTGGAGTAATTTACTTTGGGTTAACCTATAACATACACTATAAAACATCTTGCGGGCTACAGTAGAATTGCATAGAAATGGGATAACTGGCTTTTTGTTGGATTTCACATAGATGTCAACAAACTATCCATTGTTAAATTTTCTGATTTACCTTTAACTTTTAAAGTGGCTTGTTTATATCAGTATTTGTGATTTAAATTTGAATCTTTGTAAGCAGAGCTTCTCTTTCTTCTCATTATAAAAATTGAGAAAATATTCAGTAGAATGGCAAAATAATTTACATAAATAAGATTATCATAAATCAAGTTAACTATTGAATTTCTTTTTTCACATACAAAACTAAAGACAGTCTATTACTTCCATCAACCTATCTAACAAAACTTCCAGGTAACTTTAAGCTAACAGCAAAAACACATCATTAGGCATTCCCCAAGTATAACTCTTAATTGAGAAACAGTTGTACAATAAGTTAATAAATATGTATCTGTATTTCCAAAACAAAAACCTATTAGCCCAGGTATTTAAGAATGTATATCCGACTTTGTCACCAACAAACCATGCCCACTAGTGGCACAGTGGTATGATTGCAAACTTACAACGCTAGGAACCAGGTTTCAATACCTGTGGTGGGCAGAATAGATAGCTCATTGTGTAGCTTTGTTCTTAATTACAAACAAATCAACAGACTATCCTTATGCAGATTTGCAAACTCTTAACAAATTTAAACAGCTGAATCACTTCACTGTTAGTTCTTTTTTTAAAAATGAATCCAAAATTTTAAACCTCTTCTTTTTGCTCAGACTTAAACCAAGTATCATTGTGGTAGCCTGTCTCTCCACTGTTTGTAATATGTTCATATCTCTCCCATAGTGAGTGGATCAAAATTGTATGTATTACATCAAATTATATTTGAGGTCTCATATGAGTTTTATACATGTTTTTATCATAACCTTCCAGTGCTTAAGTACTTAAGTTCTATAAGTATTCACAATTCATTTTTTTTTTTTACTTCAGAAGAAGGCTTCAGGCTTTTATCAAAAACCATGCTTAAATCTTTCTTTTTTTCTCCTCAACACTGCCCTTCTTGCAAAGAAATCCTTCCTTATTTTCTGTACCCTAAGTGCATAATAGTGAATTTCATTTCCTATATGCTAGCTTTTTGTCACCCATATCAACCCTTGTAACTTCTTTTCCTACTGGGTTGTTTGAAAGTAAGTCGCACACTGTACAGGAGCTTCATGATGCAGTAACTTGGGAAGTGTATGGAATGATGAGGATACTAGTCACAGAGTTGCATGCATGAAATCACAGCAAGGAGGACATACTTAGCATGTCATTAACAGTTCATTGAATCTCCTAAGTGTATGGGGTGCAATATTGTCAAGTGTGTGCCATTCACATTTTATATGATGGTAATTATATACACAAAATGTAGGATGTCTGTCATTTTTTGAGTGTACATTCTGTTTTGTTCTAAAACTTGTGTGATTGTTCACTGGATAAAAGATTGGTCAACTGCACCTCCTTATGGCCTTGCAATACCATCTAGAATTTTGTCCTAAAGATGTTAATCTTTGGAATAGGTTTAGGTCTGTATAACTAATTTAACTAGTGCCAGTCCACGTTATAATTGAACAAAATCCAAATGCAGTATATTGGGCAGTGCATATGGTGCCTTATGGTCAAGAATAGATCTATGGATCTTCTGGCATATTGATTAGCATTGTTTTAGCATTTTTCTGATTGTTTCTCATGAAACATTACGTCTGCTCATCAGCTGAAATTCTTCCTGGAAGTTTTTGGTAGGGAAAGATCTTTCACTTCTTGCAGTAATTTTCAGATACTATCTTGCACCACTGTTGCCAGTCATGCCTGACTATCCTTATAAAGAAAGTTTTTCATATCTTCTTTGCTGATATTCCCATGTTAAAACACATGCATGTAATTTATTGGTATAACACTATCACGTGAACCTTAAAACTTGCAACTGTAAACTGTCTTTAGACTACAGTTATATAAACTAACATGATCTGTGGGATCAATAGTGTGTAGTGTAACATCTCATGGTCTCTTTCTGTGTATATTTTGGTTGATAGAACGTATTTGAAGAAGGCATTCTTATGGTAAGAATTTTTGTGTTGAAGATGAAATATATGTTGTTCTCTTAGCTGTTTGATTTTATTTGGGAACACAATGATAATTCAACAATGAAATATTAGATATATTGTCTTAATGATATTTTTTCAAACTTTTGATGTTTTCATGTTACACAGTGTGTCCACTGTTTTGAGTTATATGTAAATCGCTGGTGGACAATAAAAATTCTACTTCTGAAGACCATATGGAGTAAAGTATAAATAAACCTATCCTGTAAAATTAACTTTATTCATCTCTTTAGGTCTTTAATGTGGGAAGTTGGGCCAAACCTTCAACTAGGATGTTTTTTCTTAACAATTTATTTTAATTATCCCTTTCTGTCTGTTTCTTTCTTTCTTTTTTGAATTAGAATATGTACTTGAAATTTTTATACTTCATATTAATTTTCCTGATTCTGTTGTCCTTTTAAAATGATCCATCTGTGAAATTTAGGCAAAATGTTTTTATTAAAACTATTTACAACTTAAATCACATCTATCATTCATTTGTCAAGTTTATGAAGTTTATAAACCTTTATAATACTAAGAAAGTGTCATTATGAATTATGTTAAAACTTGAAAGAAAATAAAATCATTTTTTCTAATGTTGCAGTTAAAATCAAGTTCAGAATGTGTGAAAGTAGTTGTACGATGCAGACCTATAAGCGAAAAAGAAATTTCAGAAGGATACGAAAGGTGAGGAAAAGTGTTAATATTTTTGAAAGATAATGTTCATGAAAAACAAGTATTTAAGTTGTGCAAATGTTTACATTATAGTTTCTGGAAACAAGAAATAATAGGGTTGATAAAGAAAGGTCAAATGTTAATCAAATTTAGGAAATAGGCACAATTTGTTTTGAAATTTTTATTACATCTTAAGAACAGGCTCAGTTCAAAAATTAAAGAAAAACATAATTATATAAAATTGAAATTAAAGCATGGGCCAGAGTGAAATAGTACATAAAAAAACTGAAAATATTTTGTGAAATTATTAATTTTATGAAAAGAAGTAAGTAAAAAATAATGTACTAAGTGCTACATTATGACCTTTTGATTGATAGGGTTGTGGACATGTTTCCAGAGCGGGGAGTTGTGGAAATAAAAAACCAAAAAAATGGAGAAGTACCTAAACAGTTCACTTTTGATGCTGTGTATGATTGGAAGTGAGTAATAGCACAGTAATCTGCAGCTTATATGTGTACTTTTTTATCTTCTTTTTTTTTTTTTTATCTATTTATTCACAAGTCACTAATTGCTACTTGTAAAGTTAAAACTTAAACAATTCTTTGTGGCTGCTAGCATTGACATATTCATTAGAGCTTCTTTATGCACATTTTATTACATATTTGAAATGTTTATTAAGGTTTTTTTAATAGTTTTACATTCACGTCTGCTTAACATTTTGCATCTTAATGTAACAAGTTTTAACAAATGATTTATGTTTTCTGTACCTACAGTTCTAAACAATCTGATTTATATGATGAGACTTTCCGACCACTGATTGACTCAGTTCTACAAGGTTTCAATGGGACAATATTTGCATATGGACAAACGGGCACTGGAAAAACTTATACAATGGAAGGTATTACTTCATCAGTTTTAAAATTTCTCTGTTGATAAGAGATCCAGTAACAAAAATTGTATTACTCTGGATACATTTTAATGATAATGAAAACAATGGTGAAGATTGACGGGTATATGTGCTTTTCTTGATTTCTTAGATAGTGGTTGGTTCGTCGTTTATTTGTAACATAGTCTGGTTTGATACGATGGTTCAGAATTCATTTTTTGGCACACTTGTATTGGATAATAAATACAAAGAAGGCAAAATATGGGTACTACTAAGAGAGAATTTATTTAAATAAAAAGTGAAAACTTGCTAAGGTTTGTTAATTCTGAAGCACAACAAATTCAATCTATTTGTGGGTTAAGAACATGTAATCCTTTTAAATATGTATGTGATTTTTGTAGGTGTTCGGAGTGATCCAGAAAGGAAAGGAGTCATCCCTAACTCCTTTGAACACATTTTTAGTCACATAGCTCGCTCAGAAAATCAGGAATATCTAGTCCGAGTCTCTTACTTAGAAATTTACCAGGTGAGTGCTGTTAATGCTACATCATGGAGCATTGGGTCAGTCAAGTTCACAATTCCTGTATTAAATATTTTTGTTGTGAAGCATACCTGAAAAAAAGAAATATGAAAAGTAAAGCATGACAAGAGGTTTCTAGTGATAAAGACCATAATTAGGTGGGCAAATCCTAATGTTTTTCAAATCAGATACTTACCTCTGAAATAATAAAAGTTTTTATTTGTTAAGTTGCTTTCATACTGTCAATACCAATGTGACTTCAAATTCTGAATACCCTTGATGCGATACAAAGCATATGTCAACCTACCCAGGATTCTCCACTCTCTTACCTCCCACGTCAGTTATTGTGCATGTATCAGAAGAACATACATAAGCCTTACTCTCTGCCTAAGCCAGATAGCCAGTTGTGCTGCTACCTTCACTCACTATCAAATCTGAAGTCAACATTAACTACTGTTGGTAATATTTATACCAATATGGGAAACTTTGCAATTTATTTGAAGGCTTTACTCATGTAGTCTGCCTTTAGCATGCAGGGAGTTCCTGTGACTGTGTTGTTGTTCCTTTTTGATGATCAGTGTATTCAGGCCATTAATTCCATTTTTGTCTACTGGCATCTGTAGAGGGTTTATTTATCTCTAATTCCTATGAAGTTTCTACTGGTGTGATTTATTTTTTCTCAGGTATTGTCAATTTTTAATCTTGAGCTATTTATGCTACCTGAAGGAGCTTAATGTCATGTTGGAAGATTCATTTCTTGCATCTTTATATTTCTCACCATTTCCTGATTTTTTTTCATCATTGCTGATGCTTTATAAATCAGTTAAATGCTAATAGCCTTTTAGTGAGATTATCTTCCTCTCATATTTTGGACCTTTAGATTGTTTTTTGCTACTTTAACCCATATATGAGCTGCTCTTGTTCTCATGATTCTTTTATTTAGAATCAAATTTTAAAGTCTTCCTTTGCTGCATTTTTCACAAATGTAGTTGTTATTACCATCTGTGTATTATGTTCCTTTGACACCTTAACCCATTGTGCTTTGTTACAAGGTACTTGTCTCTACCCCTAAACTTTTCCACTGACCTTGGAAGAGCTTCTTCCCTGCATCATTTTTCTGCAGGATTTTCACCCATTTGATTCTCTTATTCATTTAACTTGCTTCTGGTAGTCATTTGTTTTTGGACAACCAGCAAGTAACTTTTATCACCTGCTTTACTTCTGTCAGTAAATGTCAGTTACTTCTATTCATTTGGCAACTGTCTCAGATAATTGGTTCTTCTGTAGGACCCTGGTCTTAATGCCTTCTTTCTTCCTTCCTTCCAGTTCATTTGCTTACCCATTATGGATTTCTCTCGATTTTACTCTTGTCTCTTTATTGATCCAAAAAAGTCATGAGATTTTAGACCTGTCATAGACCTGTCTCTACTCATCTTTTCCTGAAGACACTTCATTTTCAAATGGAAAATATGAGGTTGTTAAGGAAGTCTTCTTGTCATGGCCTTTGGATGATGATGGTGGGCATACAGGATGGTTTTCTTCATATCCTTATTTATTCTATCACCATTATTTGTCATTAGAGAATATTTTTGCAGTTCAAAAATTTTCTCTTTGGCTACATATTGTTACGACAGGGGAAGTCACGCAACACTGGGAGCATGCATGCTGGAGTTTCTAGAAGGACCATGAATTATCGAGGAACTCTACGAATGTTCTAGTGTTTGCCAGGCACCCTCTTTTTTAGGATATAAGCCTGGCAAGAAAAACCAGTGCAAAGTCAGAGATAGATAGCTAGATCGGAAATATACATAACTGAGTCAAGCGAACAGTAGGCATCGTAAATAAAGTGTGTGAATTATAGCGTGTATTTATAAAAGTAATTAAGTTAAAGTGACTGTGGAAATTCTGTGTATTACTAAAAGTTGTGTCAAGAAAGAATAAACTAGTTTCAATCAAGACAGGACTTGTATCGCTGAAGTTCTTCAGAAAGAATTTCTACCAGAAATTAACAAACAAGCAGATACGTAACAATATGTTTTCTGTTGAGTAATCAAGTTTCCCTGATCTTCTCTATACACTCCACATTGACTTACTTTTACATAGGTGATTGGGAGGAATATGTTATACCATCATGAATGTAAACTAAAAACAATCTGACTTATGGTGGAAAAGCAGAATGTATGTACATTCACCTGATGCATGCTTGATAAAGAATGTGTGGAAGGTGATAGGGTGGTGAATTTTTAGTGAGCTTTGCATTGCATCAATGACTTAAAGAACTTGAAATCACATGTTTGTTGACAGTATGAAATCAACTCAACAAGAAAAAGTTTTTGCATTTCAGAGATAAGTACCTGTTTAAAATTCATTTTAATTCTGAAAACATTGAATTTAAAAGTTTTAAACATTATAGAAACAAAATGTGGAATTATATTTGTGAAGATACTCATTTATGGGGGTAATAAGTGCTAGAACCAAACATTTTAACTTGTAAGTGTGAACTGTTAAATGTTATCTTGAAGTATGGAATTATATTCAAATTAAGTATTATAGTAGGTGTAATGTTACAACAAAAAAATATTTTAAAATTTCAAGAGACCTCTGCCATTTGTTAAATAAAATGCAAAAGTTCTGCTAATAGCCATAGAAGGCATAAACACCCAGCTCAAGGCAGCTTATGTGCAACAAGTAGTCAAAGAGTTGCAAACAAAGAAAAAAAAATTTGTGTAATGCACGGATTGCACTTTTTTTTTGCTACCTTTACAAGCATTTGTCATATATATCTCTAATAAATAGAATAGAAAAAGATTTAATACTATTTTCTTCTTCAAATATGAACTTAAAAAATATATTGAAATCTATACAATTGTATGTAATAAATTTTTATAGGAAGAAGTTAGAGATCTATTGGTAAAGGACCAAACCAAGAGGTTAGAACTTAAGGAAAAGCCAGATGTTGGAGTTTATGTTAAGGTGAGCTGTTTGTAATACACAAACAAATAATATCATTGTTCAAAGTTCTTTTATTGCTTTTGTTAGTATGTAACTTTAAAGTGAATTCTTAGTTTGCAATGATATTTTTATTTTCATATATGAAACTTAAAACAACAAATTGCATATTACAATTATTATTTATATAATGCACTGATTGCAATTTTTTTTGCTACCTTTACAAGGATTTGTCATCATTTGTTTGTAAGAGTGTAAAGGAAGTAGAACATGTGATGACAGTAGGCAATCAAAACAGATCCATTGGGTAAGTTACATTGTTTTTATAAGAGAAGTGTGGTAAATTACTGTATGTTTCAGTGGAAGAGTAGTATCAGTTATCATGGCTTAATTACACATCAGTGTGATCAGACTGTCAATTTCAAGAATGCAAATTACATTTCAACTTAAATGGTTAAGTTTTGGCTTTAATGGACTGCTTCAATATAAAAGTGAAAATCTTATCCTGGTCTAGAAACAAGCAGGAACAGTCCATTAAAGCCAGAACTTTACTATATCTACACTACCTAAAATACTCTTGAAACAACAAATTAAATAGTTATTTAACCCTATGACTACCAGCTCCTTATATTGTAAGGACCCAACATCGCTATCATTATATTTTGTTCCAAAAATAAAACTAATGGATAAAATTGTTTGAAAGTTGACAACAACTTTCATAAAAGTATGAAGTTTCAGAACAATATAATGTTTAACCCTATCATATGGGTTTTCCTTTGGTCAGGGGTCAAAAGGCATGTCATCACACTTGTAGACTTACATTCAAAATTTTATTGAACTATTTTATGAATGTATGTCCATAAGTTTGGTATCAAATTGTAGGTTATAATTCAAATCTTAGTATCATACATTAGTTAATTTCTCTTAGTTGAAAAGTAAATATTAAAACAAAGTTTCTATGTAGCTTTGGTATAAATTAGGTGTTTGTGATGTCCAACTACATAGTCTATAGATTCTTATGAAATAGAAACTCAAATTACCAATATTGACAAGCTAGAATATAAAATAAGAACCTTCTATCTTTTCTTTTTACTGAGATGTGACTATATTTAGCGAATCAAACATTTTTGGAAATACCTGTTTATGTACACCTGCTTCACTCTATCATGTGTTTATAACAAATCAAAAGCTCAGATTTTTCCCCCAAGTGGTTTTCTGAGCCTATTCAAGGTGTGTATTTCCTAAGATTAATCTTTTTATTCCCAATCTTGGAAGGAAGGTGTAACTGAAAATGGTGTTTGAAAACAATATTTTTTTTATATAATTGATACTTGAAACTGTCAGTACCTCGTGAAAATCCATAATTACAGAATTGAGGAAAACAAGACAATTGTATGTTTCATATATACATTATTTATTCACAACCATGGTTTTGCCAGTAAAGGTAGAGTCTGCTTTTCCTGGCAAAACTATGGTCATGAATAAATAATGTATTTGTGAAATGTATAATTGTCTTGTTTTTCCTCAATTCTGTATTATTTTTTTAGACTGAAATAAAGCTTGGTTACAAGATGAAAAACTCTATAACCCGAGCACTTTTGAAAAGTTGACCTTTCTTCTTCAGGGGCAAACTGGGAAGAAGAAAGGTCCACCTTTTGAAAACACTCTGGTTATTGGGTTTTTATCATCTTGTATCAAGACTTCTTGAACCTACGTGAATAAAGCTTAGTTAGTAAGCCTGATAAATTACAGTGGAATTCTGTGATATTGGTAGAGTAACTTGTACTTTTTTGTTATTTCAAAATGCATATATAAAACCTAAAAAAGTTATTTTGTTTTACATTCTCCATGTGCAAAATTTGGCAAGGCTTAGCATGCAAGGTACAGCAAGTGAGTACAAACTTCTTTACAATCATAAGTAGTACAGATCATTGTTTTCTATATTTCTTTATTTACTGTTCTATGTTTCAAGAAAAATACTGAAATTTAAGGATTTATTTGTAAATATTAATAATATATATATGTGATGTATTATAACCGAAATGTGACTGTATTTTACAAAATACTGGTCCACTAGAACAAAGCCAAGACAGACAACTTTGTAAACACCAGTATTATGCTATTGGATATGGTGATATGAGATGCATTGTGATTGTAAGTTCTGTAATATTTGTCAGACACAGCTGAAAGGTCAATAAAATAAAAAAGAATAAATATAAATAGATGTATAATGATATGAGACTTAAGCTATTTAGAATAAATATTTGTGGTTCCATGTAACAATTTGTAGCTATTCTAGAATGAAAACAGTGTAACTTAAATCTTATTTCCTAATTTTTTATGGTGGTTATACGGTTGGTCAATTCAACCAAAACCATATAGAGATAAGATAAAGAAAATAACAGATAAATTATAAAGTTTTTCTGAAAAAAAAACATTTGATATTTATCTGGATTTTATTAGGAAGTTCTAGAGATTTCTCAAATGAAATTTGACAATTTTCTAATGCATAAAGGTATTTTTAATCTTAAAATCAAAATTACTTTTCATGTGGGATAATTAAATTTTGAAAAGAAAAAATGCAAAAGCAAATTTTTAATTAGAAAATATGATATTTTGTGTACAAAAGCCTTGTTATGTTTAATTATAATCTGCCAAAGTTTGTGAAGATATGCATACTGTATTAAAAGTAATAGTATGAAACTATAACAAGCATAAAATTGTTACAAGGTTGGTCCCTGGACTAAGCCCATAGTGAAAGGGTTAATTTTGAATTTTTCTACTATTTCTAATAAAAATTCCTTATTAAATTTAGTTATTTGCACTCAGATTTTGAATACCTCACCTGCAAGGCAAATTTCATGTTGAGTATAAAAATACTATTTGTTATCTTACAGTTTTCACATTTCATTTACATAATCTCTAGAACCACCAAAATGAATATCAAAAGTTTTTCTAAGGTAAATATTTATATTTTATTTTCCATTTTCTCTACTATATCATTAAACTCTAGCTATTATCATCAATGTGCAGTGCAATGAAATGTTTAAAATTAAGAAATGTAAATATGTACATACCTTTGTAGAATAGTTTTAAAATATCTTCTTTGGTTTGTATGTGTAATTTCATGTCTTTACCTTTTCACTAGTAATTTAATTTTGATATTTTATTTTCCTTTTCTCAAACAACCAAAGTACTGTCGTGAACAAAGCTGGCAACAATAGTACAAGCAGTTGCATTTACCCAATGATGACAATTTGGCAGTAATTTCAAAACAACTGTTGTTGGATTATAGTGAAAATGAGCTCTTTCTAATGACTATAAACACGTGTACAAGCTACATGTACTTACTGCACAAAGCTCAAGGCTAAGTATAAAAGGTGGGCGTGGCACCCATGAGGAGTTGACAAAATTTATTACTTGTTTCTACTACACTTAGCCAAAGAACTTTTAAACACAAGTGTCAATAGAGAAAATGAACATATATTACTGTCTAGACAAAGTGACTGTACTTATACTTTGCTGAAAGTTCGAAATTGGTTATAGCTTGTGCTTCACATGAAAACAAAATGAGTTTTTGTTATTTCTTTCAACATTTCTTTTAAAATAAATCTAAGATAATATAAAACTTTGAACTATAACATACTTGATAATAATAATTTTATTGAAATAAATTGATAGTAAAGTGGTTTAATTAAATTTTGAATATAACTCAGTAACAATTTGTGACATGTACAGCAAGGAATTTATAGTGTGTGCCAGGGTTCATAGGGTTAAACAAAAGCTTTTGATTGATTTTATGATTGTGTTTGAATTCCCAAGCATGTTGATTTTTAGCACTTAATCAGAAAAAATACTTCACTAAGCCAAGCGATGTATTTGTAGTGGTAGATCATCAGTTTGGATGTTATGATGAAAACATTTTTTGTACAAGTAATTATTTTAATAAGAAAATATTCCTTCATTGTATGCAACTTAGATTTATATATTTTGTTGTTTAAAAAACGTTTAATTGACATTATCTATGGTGAAGTGTTGTATTTTTCATTAATTTATTAAATTTAATTCATATATTAACATTGTTTATTGCGTACATTTTTTATAATCATAAGTAAATTTATCTTGTAACTTTATTTTATTATTGCTAAAACAAAACCGCTTTTGTTTGTTGTATGTTTATATATGTATACATACATACACTTAATAAAAAAGCTTGAATTTAACTGAATTTTTTAATAGTAAATGTAGTTAAGTGACTTGGAAGTTAAAGTACTTTTTTATCATTTTGATTTAAGATTTTTGTTCTTTCAGAGCTACCAACATGAATTTGCATAGTTCTAGATCACATGCCATTTTTATCATTACAATTGAGCATTGCGAGGTATGTATAGCTGTGAAAGGATAATAAGAATATTTTTATAGTATCAGCTTATGTGCATCCTGATGTTAATTAATACTACTATATGCAAATATTCTTCTCTTGATACCTTTATCAGAATACGTGTATAAGAACCATCCATGTAACAAGGAGTAATTAAAGTTTGTAAGCATTTTAATATAGTTATATCCTTGCCAGATATTTTCAAAAGAAATTTCAACAGTCTTTGACTGCATACTCTACTAAGGGTTGAGGATATGAGTGGTAGCTGGGATTCTTTCTACCTACTTTGTCATTACTGGAGTTTATTTCTTTTTAATAGAACTGTCGATATGTTAATAATGTATGCAAAACTATTGTTTACAGTAGAAACTAGCCTACTTCTTTATTTTAAAGCCCTTGGATACATAATTTCAAAGACAGATAGTATGAAACATGTATTTCTGTTTAAATATTCATATTAGTTTTAAAGTACAATGCATGTCGCTTCCTATCTACTCTGAAAGTAAGAAAGTTTGATTAATAAAGATGATTTTTTATACTTGCATATTTCCTAAAAACTTATTATTGCATGTGTTTTGCTTACAAATGTTTGATCAAAAATTAGTGTATTTTACTATTGATATTGATGAGTGATCTACAAAAGGTAAATATGAGCTTTTAGCACTGTTATTTTATCTGATTTGTTATTATCACCACATTTTCTTGCATGGATTATTAATAATAAGTTAAAAATAAGTATATAACTAAGTTTTATGATTTTTTTTAGAAGGATAGTAGTTTTGAAAGTAAATAATAAATTTTGCTGTGTTTGCTCGTCATACAGTTGGGTCCAGATAATAAGAATCATATACGAGTTGGAAAGTTAAACCTTGTAGATTTGGCAGGTAGCGAAAAACAAAAGAAAACTGGTACAGTGGTAAGTAATCATTATACTAAAGCATTACTTTGTAAATTAGTCATTTGCAGATAATGTACCAAGAACCTACAATTTATTTTACAAGTTCTAATAGAAAGCTGTATAGTTCTCTAGTATGGGAACTAGAATAAGGGACTTTGGTTTTGAAGTATTTTTTCCCTAAAAAAGAAGAAAGATATGGAGAAAACCAGTTCAGAAAATTATTTTCTTATGTTTATAACTTTGAGTATTAAGTATGATTCTAATAAATATTTTTGTAGGGTGAAAGGCAAAAGGAAGCAATCAAGATTAACTTATCTCTCTCAGCACTGGGAAATGTGATTTCTGCACTAGTAGATGGAAAGAGTTCTCATATACCTTACAGGGACTCCAAACTCACAAGGCTTCTCCAAGGTGTGTGCGCTAATGCTTAGTCATGTTGTTATAGCTTAAATCTGCCTATTCACTCAGTCCATAGTGTAAGTATCTTTACATGCTTTGTAGTAATGTGAAATCTATTTTTGGGAATCTTTAAGGGTTTATTTTAAAAGCATTGTACTAAGAAAAAGTCCTACAAGGATTTTTTTCCATACATGCCTGTGAAACTATTTGGAATTATTTGTGTAGTTTGTTTTTGTCTGGAATGTTATATATAAACACACACACACACACGTTATAAAGAAGAGATTTTTTGAAAAATAAAACATAAACATAAAACATACAGTTAACTGTATCTTATAATATTCTCCGTAACTGCAGAATTTGATGCTATACATGCTCTTTTTGTATAGATTCACTTGGAGGTAATGCTAAGACTGTGATGGTAGCCAACATTGGACCTGCAAGCTATAATTATGATGAATCACTCACTACATTAAGGTATTGTATAGTGGAACGTATGATTTAATAATCTGATTTCACCTAGTGTGCTGATAAATGTTTTAAAGTTTGATTTGGAGCAACAAAAAATGTAATGTTACAGAAATTAAAAACAACTTGAGCAGTGCATTTATTAATGGGTGGGATATCATAGTAATATCCCCAGGCAAAACCCTATTTCAAACTTCTTTTTCTGAATTGATAAATAGGTATGCTAACAGGGCTAAGAACATTAAGAACAAACCACGGGTTAACGAAGACCCAAAAGATGCCTTACTGAGAGAATTTCAAGAGGAAATAGCAAGGTTTGTTTTGTTTACATTTTAAAAGTATAATCATTTTAATATAATGTGTGTCAACAGTTATGTTTGTACTTCATTGGATATAGTATTCTGGAGCCAGAATTTTATTTCATATTATTAAAAACAGTTTTAATTTTCATATAATAGGTATGTTTTAAGATTTAGAATATAAATACATCTACCAGTATCTGTATCCTAATATTTTTGTATTGAAAAAAGCCTTTATTGTGGAACAAAATTTACATTTTTACTATTTTACAAGAGCTTAACTTTAAACTTTGTACTTGAGGTTCTTATACCACATGTTTGAACTCATGTTGGTACACACATTTGTATTAATGCTTAGTGAAATTATGTAGATATTGCCAATATCTGGTCAGTTGGTTAAACTTTGTAATATGTTATTGTGTTTATGTGTAATGACATGCTTAATATAGTAAGCATAGTGAACCTTATGTAGGTTGGTTTCAGTTGCTTAAATATAAATTGAATACTTTTTCAGCAGTAAAAGCTTTAGTAGTGTTTAACAAATGATATACTTTTGACTTAGGAAATCTTTGTGTGTCTGACATTTACTGTATAGTATACTCAGCAAAACATTACCTTAGAAAATATATGTTAAACCACTTATATGCAAAGTAATGCTAGAAAAATAGAATGGATATTTTCATACCAAAGTCTTTAATTTGTGTTGAAAAGAATTTGGAAGACATTCCTGTACATTTCTGCTACAGAATTTAATACAGAACTATTACTTTTTAAAAATTGCCAGCAATCTTTTTTTTTATCTTATGTTCTCCTTAATAGATTAAAATCCCAACTGGAAACAAAATCACTGAAACGAAAAAAGAAACATCGACTGAAGGATGAAATAGAAAACAAGTTCATAGATGAAGATCGAAATGTTGATGGGGAAGATGAGGGAGAGGGAGAAGAAGAATTTCTCAAAGAACAAGAAACAAAACTTGAAGCAGAATGGCAAGCAATCATGAATGACCAGAATTTAATAACAGAGGTATTATCGCAAAATACAACTTTTTGGTTGAGAATTACGGAGATTGGTGGTAAAATGTAAACAAAAAATAGATAAGCTTATCTTAAAACATTTCTATTACTATTTATTTCCCACAACCTAAATAAACATGCAACCATTACTTTGGAAACCTTTCAAAATATTTTTGTTTTAGTATGCAGTTTTTAGAAGAGACTGTAATAAAGAAGTTCATGATATTTCATTTGTATTCTGGTTCGGATGGTGTTCACTTTTAGTGTTTTTTATCCTGATATTCAGTTTGTTATTTCAGCTATCATTTTTATCCTATTTTAATTGCATGTGACTTTATTTCTTTTGCAGGAATATACTTTGTGACTAATAAAGTTTGGAGATGGCTTGAATGGATAATAAAGAAACTTTTATGACAAATTTAACATGGTAACAAATGTAAAATGTTTTCATCATAATCAATTATCTGATGATAATGACAAAATCTTGTTAAAATGTTGTCCATTTGTTACAATGTTAAACTTGTAATAAAGTTTTCTTTGTTACCCATTCAGGCCATTTCCAAATTTTGTTAAGCATAACAGTATTGTCAAGAATACACAGTAGATGTGTGTGCTGTAGGTAGGTTAGTAGAACTGGAGAAAAATGTTGTTGTAAAAAATTGATAATATCTCAAGACTGTTTAGAAATATAAACTAAGGATTCTTAAGTAAATAAGATGCTGTTTCAGAAAGCAGTTTAGAAGTGACATTTTATTACTTGGATTAAACAGTGATATCTGATCTATATTTCATGGTCACTTACTTGGATCTAAGACCCGTATCTGATTGATCAGCTTGTTGAAGCTGTCCATATTCTGATGATTATGCCTGTTAGGAAGGGCAGAGAGAGTTAAGGATGCTAACTAACAGATCTAGTGTTATTGGCTAAACTCTGGTTGAATACTGAATTATTACAGACAAATGCACTTTTCAAGAGTGTTACTGATTTGAAAATCTGTTCAGCAATAGTTTGCTGTGTTTCCAATATATGTGGGGGAGCTTTTTCTTTCATCTTCTCTAGTGCCCGAACAACCCTGTTGATCACCTAATATGCTTTAGCTAAGATGATGTCATCTTGTTATTGGCTTTTTGACACACTAATCACCTCCTCTACAGTATCCATCAAAAGTCTTAACACTAAAACAAACTTCAAAGGCTAGGGACTTAGGAAGTCCCCAAAGTCTCTGTGGTCTTGGAAACACGTGATTTATCTTCAGATTTGGATGGGAATGCTTGTGAAGGACTGCATAATAATCCTCACAGCAGATAACACTATAAAATTGAAAGCCACTCAACATACTGTTACAATTTTTCTGACCCTTTTAAGTTGTATGCCAAGTTCATACGCATGAGAAGTAAGTTCCACTTGGGTTTTGGAAGATTGACTGTAAACTAAATGGACTTTCTGAAGCAACTTTATTCGTCCAACTTCCTTGATAATATTCCCAAAGCTAGGTTCAATCTGTGACATAGGCAGTGCCATTTGATAATGATAAGTTCTGGGTAATCACTTGTTAAACTAGTCAACATTCCATTTTTTATCCAGACCATAATGTTAAAATTGCCACTACATAACTGATAAAGCACTTATTTAAATATTCATGTTTGCTAAACAAGCTGTATCAATTGCCACAACATATCTTCTTTCTATTTCAATTAAGTGAAGGAAAAAGTAACAACCATGGAATGAATAACTGCATGTACATACAAAATTAACACTGATTTCAAAACTACAGTCATTGATTCTTCTACAATTACAGATATTTCAGTACAAAGTTTTTCCTACATTTTTAGACCATTAAAGTCTGTGATTTCATAGACTGACCACTTGAAATGCAAAATAACACCCATACCTAAGCCTTTGCTTCACGGCACATCAAACAAATTAGGAATATTATTCAATTGTCTTTTTTTTTTTTGCACACAATATACAAGTAAGTTACTGCTGAACACCTTATATGTACATTCATACTGATGTCTTTTTGTTTGTTTACCAACATATTTCTTTGCATCATCTAAGATTCAAGTAGCTGCAACATTTGTCAAATTCTTCCTATGTTCAGTTGTATTCTTCTTCAATGATGAGTGCTATAGAACCACAAAATCCAACATTACCTGTGTTCTACTCCTGTGAGGTTTGAGCAACTACTTTTCTTGTGCTTGCTCTTAATCATCCTGTTTCTTTGCAAACACTGCAGCTAAGTTTTAAAAGAAGAAACCACCCTACTTTCTACTCTAGATATTTTGCTTTCAATAGTTTACATGATGCTATATGCTTTTTCTTCTTATTTTGTTTTATTGAAACTTGAACAAGATTAAGTGTTTGGAACTGGCAAAAGCAACTAGCCCAAAGCCACAGGTACCGGGGCAGGTGATGTAACTGATGAAGCTAATAATGCTGAACAGAATGGGGAAGATATTGTCACTGAAGCTTTTCAGTTGAAAAAGAGTTGTTTATTAAAAATGTGACAATAAGTCAAATCATATACAACATGACTGTCCAGAACCACTTAAAAAAATTTTCCTGCCTTCAACTGCCTTGAGGCTGTCCCATGGAATCAACCTTCCTTTTTAAAATACTTGTTAGTAAATATAGAATTTAACTTTGTCTGTGAATTTCATTTTTCAGCTTCTTGCAAGAAACAGAGTAGTTTTTGTCTCTAATACTTTTTTTTTCCACAGACACACAAATTCTTTCACTGATTTACTATTATTACTCCCACAAAATAAGTTAGCCAGATGTAGTAACATTATTTTTAACCATCTTGTTAAGATGAGTATTATTGAAAAAAAAAAGACGTTCAGTGTAACATTAGAAGCAACACAGAAGAAGCAAAAATGTTCTTTTTTTATGTGAATAAGCCATGCTAGTAAAATGTGATGATAAACAGTGCTGTGACAGTGGGGTCTTCGCTTTGTAAATACCACATAGGGAAGTTGAATACAATAGTCCCTTGAACTTAGCCTGAGTTCTCAGTTTGATTTGAGAGCTAGAGGAGGGACTACCAGATTGACAATAGAGTCTCACAGAAGTGTGTATCCCCCTTGCATTGTGAAATAAAGCCAGTGCATGCACATACTAATGTCTGCACACATGGAAACTGAGAAGTGGCTAGAATTAAGGGAGTTCTTGAGTCAGCATTTTTTGAAAAAAAAGGGCTATTATGAAAACTGAAATATTTTTACCAGGAATAGTCATTAGTTTACAATTATATATATATATTATCAGAAGAACTGAAATGCCATTCCGTATCCCCAAAAAAGTGCTGGAATGGCTTTTCTGCTTGACTTGAATTCTGCCTAGAAGATAGTTTTATTCAAGATGAACTATATTTTGATTTTAAGGAAAAATCCAATGTTTGCACATCTCTAGAAATTGGTATGCTTTATATGAATCTTTTTTAATGTCACGGAGTTCCAACTGAGTGAACTTCATCCAGGAAATAAGGTACAAGGAGGCTGTGCTATAATGTGCTTGGAACTATTTAATAATTTTTAAACTTTCTTGAAAAATACTAGAGGAAGAATCTTTGATTCTCTATTCTGGGAGTTTTCATTAAAGAGATAAAGTTTTCTTCTTATTAGTAAGACAAATTTTAAAGTGCTAAAGGAAGTGGTAATATTTAATTCTTCCTGAAGTTTGTCTTAAGCAAATAATATCATTTGGGGATTAATGACAAAAAATCCTCTTAGAAATCTGTTTGATAGTCATTTACAAATGTGAAATTTTGGTTGAATTTTTTAAAGGAAAAACAAAAGCTTCTGAATGAGACACAAAAGAAACAGGTGCAGCTCAAGAAAGAGCAAGAAGCCAGAGATAAAGTGATAAGTAAAATAAAGGTAAAGATTTTTTTTTTATTATTATTATATGATTTCCATGAATACTATGTTAAGTAAGTTTGAATAATACTTTTTTTTCTAGGTAAACAACTTGATGATTTGAGTTTTACTTTCATTAGTTAGATAACTTTTTGTTGAAATACTTGAAATTGAAATATTTCTTTATAGTTGAAACAAATGTTAGTGTGTAAAATATTTCAACAGCTTTCAGACAGGTTTCTTATGATAGTTGATGAGGATTGAAAAGTTTATATTTAACAATTTATTAAATAATGTTACAAGTGCTGGGTTATTAAATGGTTTCTTATGATATACATTTATGATCTTATAATTTTTCATCAAGCTTCTTGATCAGATTTAGAGTATGAACCACAAGATAATTCTACCGACTTGTACAGTGAAAGATGGACATGCTACTTTATAGAATTCTTATTCTACCATTAATATTGTTAATTTAACATAATGTCTAGTTGCATTTCATCCAGCATTATATTGACAGAATGAAGACATATTAATCCTTGTACTGTAGACAATGCAAAGTAAGCTTCTGAGTGGAGGGAAGAATATCATTGATCACACAAACGAGCAACAGAGAGCTCTTGAACAGAGAAAACAAGAAATTGCTGAACAAAAGGTACTCGCATCATAAACTAGAGAACTTGTTTGATTCTGAATATGAGTTAATTGTGTTATATATTTATGTATTCATGAACTTTAATAGCATAATCCATTTCATCTTGTTTTTCCTAACCATTATTTGTGAAGATGATATGTTCAGATATCTGTTATGTAATAAACAGCAGAGATAAGATCAATAAATGTTAGACAATTTCTAAAAACATTACAGTGATGATGGTTTATCTTGGATTCATGATCAGCATTGATTGAAAAAATTATTTCAAGAATATGGTGTGTCCATTTACATACATTTTATATAATATAAGTTTGCAATAACTTCATATCATTCAGTTTCTTTAATTAATGATATACATTCCAAATTCCTAACTTGCTTTATATTTCATTAGTTCTTTATTATATAAACTTGCATTATTAAAAATTATTTATCAGTAAAATTTTAGATCAAGGTCAAGAACTATGAATTTATTAATAACGTAATCTAAAATCTCTTTTACAATTCAGAATACACTTCTAGATCTTAAATTTATTCAGTAATTTTTTAATATTTTACCAAAACATATAAGATCAAATATCACGTGTGTGAAAATTTTCAGGGAAGAGACAATTAAGTTTAAAGAATGTGTTAACATTTGATTTTGAAGAGACGAGAAAGGGAAATGTTGCAGAAACTTGATGATCAAGAAGAAACCACCTTGGAAATACGAGAAACATATTCTTCACTACAGCAGGAAGTGGAGGTGAAGACCAGAAAACTTAAAAAAGTATGTACCTAATCAATCAGAATATATAAATTTATATCATTGTTATGTAACCAATTAAAGATTTTTTATTTTAAATATAATAAACAGTAATTTTTTAACTGCTTTTTGATCTTTCATTCTGATATGGGGCTGGGTGTGTGCCGAGTAGTTAGTGTGCTTGGACTTTAGTTTGTAAAATTCATCATTTGTGGTATGTTGCTCCAAAAATGCTCTCCACACTTTGGGTACATTGGTATATTATACAAGTAACAGTCAAATCCCACCATTTGGTCAGAAAAGAGTAGCTCAAGAGTGGTCAGTAGGTGCTGTTGACTAGTTACTTCCCTGTAGTTTTTCAATTAAAAATTAAGGTTCGTTATGCGGTAAATTTGCCTAAAATGTATGAAACAAACAAACTTGTATGATGTTATTTGACATTAAGTCAGTTAAGAAAGAGCTTATCGAATGTACAATTTTATTTCCATGTGAAAGATTTATCAACTTGATTAGAGTATTAATTTTGAGATAGATCATTTACTGTTTAATGAATATGCTTTCAGCTTTTTGCTAAGCTACAGGCTGTCAAAGGAGAAATTCAAGATCTTCAGGAAGAGCATTCTCATGAAAGACAAGAACTTGAACAAACTCAAAATGAGCTCACAAAAGAGTTGAAACTCAAGTATGTATATGCTTACAAAAAATATTCTTTAATTAGTAAGAGGAAATAAATTGGGATTCTTAGAAATTTGATGTGTTATATGTGAAGTTAAGCTCTTTGGAGATGTTTCCTACATAAGTAGCAAAAATTAAACAGTTTTTTATGTTTGTCAATTGGATAAGCTATTATAAATTGTTAAGCATAATTGGTTGGAGATTTTATTTCATAAAAACTATTTTATTGGGAAGCTATACATTTTTAGCAGATTATTAAGTCAGTATGTTTTGTTCCTTCCAGATACCTCATAATTGAAAACTTTATTCCTTCAGGAGAAAAAAACAAAATATTAAGTCGAGTGACATTTGATGAGGATGATGACCAATGGAAGTTGATTCCCTTATCCCAAGTCAATGGGTTGGTTTTGTTTTATTGTCTATAAGGAACATCCTTTAAGTGGATGTAAAAAATCTCAGATGTCTGTTTTATAGCATATAAAAAAAAAACTTGTGTTAAAATTAAATTAATAAAATGTGTTACTTCATATTAATCTTATGTTCTTGTTGAGAAATGTAATATACACCTTAACTGTTGGTAGTATAAATCTTTCACCCTGTGGTATGGTTATGAGATGCTAGTATAAAGCAAACATTGAGAAGTTTTTCATATGCTAAATTTTCCAAAATGAATCTGAAAAAACTGATGGGTTTTTTACATAAAAATCTCACTCATGATTCAAACAACACAAAGTGAGAAAATAAGTTTCCAAAACATACATACCTCTGCTGATTCTTATAGCTATTTCTCAATCTTCATCTTTGCCATCTAAACATTATGTTCACTTGCTCCAGTCTTTATACCCCACTT